AGAACAGGGTTCGTACACTTTTTCAGGCCAAAGATTCAAGGACTTTTCAAGGACTTTCCAGGACCCTACTTAGAAATTTCAAGGACTTTTTGTAATGACAATTTTACCTCAAAACCAAGAAAAATGTTTCTGTTAACATCTATGTTTTGGGTTTACCGATGGTGCAAAACAAAAGCAGATATTTTTCCATGTTGTTCAATAAAAAATCAAGGACTTTCAAGGACCCAAAACGAAATTCAAGTACTTTCAAGGCCTTGAAATCAGCCTCCTGAAATTCAAGGGTTTTCAAGACTCGTACGAACCCTGTCACCTGCCAATCCTGGGTTCAAACCATACTTTTACGAGGCCCCGTATCAGGGAGGGGGGTGGAAGGTCTGAGTACCCTGTATCCTATCAACTTTGACCCAAATATCCCATATCTTATTAATTCTTGTGGTTTGTCTCCCTATACTTCCAGTTCAATATCCCGGAATCTCTATATAGATATCCCATTTCCTGTCTTTTTTTTTTCCTCAAGAACCCCATATCCCAACAGTTTTTTACCCAAATATCCCATATCCTAACAACCCTTAATAGAGACTTATCTAACAAGTGTTGATGGGATTGTTTCAAAATTTTCTATCACACACATGCATTCCCAAGGGAGCAAAAACATTCTGCAAAGCCACCAAAGTCTGAGCCCTCCCCATACTTTTTGGTGCCAAGAATGACACACTAGACACTTTTAACCCTTTAAGTTACAGCATTGATTAACATGTAACTTCTCCCTTTAAAATCCACACATTAATCAGGCTTCAGGTAATGAGAATACTGAAACTTATCAAGTGGAAGTTGATGTCCTGATCTAACATCAGAAACTAACCGAGTGGTTAGGGTGCTGGACTTGTAATGCGGTGTCCCGCGTTCAAGTCTTCCACCCTGCCACTCACTGGATTTGTTCTCAGTTGCCCCTGGTTCAACTCCTCGGCTGCGCTCTGTAAATAGCCCACTGATTTGCCTCCTGCCAGTGGCGAATTTTAAGCACTTAGTTAGTTTACATTGTGGCTGAATAGCCCCTAAGAGGGAGCTTCAATTTATGTATTTTTATACTTTTTTTTTAACTTACAAGGAAATTTGTAGCAGCGAGAGAGGAGAATTTACAATTACCATAAAAACATGCAGATAAGCTGCACCTTATTTCCAAAAATTGTTGCTAGAAATTGAGCGTGTGGCTTATCTGCTGGAACATTTGAAAAAGGTGTCATGACTGTCAACGCCAATTTCCATTTTTTGCATATGATCTAATACCTGGTTACTAAGCTTTGAATGTTCTGCTCACATTCTTGCTGTATACATAATGCAAATATCTATGGAAAAATTGTGTTGAATGATGAAATTTGTCGACAAATACCAGAAAAAGATCAATCATACGTCAAAGTTTGCAGGAACGATGTTCATTATAATAAAGTGCCAACATTGTGGGTAAGACTTTGAAGTATTTTCCGTTGCAAATTATGTTTGTGAGTTTATGTTCAATGAAGAGTGGATGAAGAAGACTTCTCAAGACTCGACTTTAGACTTCTTTTGATTTCTTTATTTTCCAAAATTTGAGCTACTAAATTCAGCATGCGGCTTATCTGCGGGTTTTTATGGTAGATCTCGGAAATGAAAGGGTTAAGATACAGTATTATTATAGAGCTGTGTCTCACAAGGACTGGGAACTACCGATTTCATGAATTTGATTGACTAAAATCAATATTGAAAGCGTTCTAGATTTTCCCATCTAGACTGGCATCTAGACCGGTCTAGAATAAAAAGGTACAAAGAATATAAAAAATTGGCATACATGACACAGCCATATAATAAACATCTTATTGACCGAGCTAGGTCGGTCTGTACGGGAGAATCTTGACCGAGGTCGCCGGTACAGACCTCACTGCGTTCGGTCTGTACTGGCGACCTCGGTCAAGATTCTCCTATACAGACCTCCCGGTTAATAAGAACTAAGTATTTCCAAAGTACTGGAATAATACCTCACCTTTTCCTGAATTTCTGTCGGATTTTTAATACGTAAGTTTCTCATCCTATTGACTAAGTCCTTTTCCAATCCAAATGAGTTGAAAATCCGCGTTTTCGTGCTCTCAAAATAAACATATTTCCTTACAAAGTACCTTGTTCGAAAACGAACGAGGGCGGCTGCCATCTTGCCAAGCAACCACGCAGATATCCTTATTCAGCTTGGTAGCCCCTCGATGAGTCTGATGTCCTGTATCTGTCAAAACAGCATACTTTGCAGAAACGCTTCCGTAACCATGAAATAATTCCTCATCGTTTCTCATAAGATTACGATGTTTTCGTTTCTGTTTGCCTTAAAATGAAGGGATCGTGCTCTTGTTTTCACTAATTATGGCGTGGAACACGAGATCGAAGTGGACCCGCTCTAAACTGGAGCCCCCTCGTCTTCCAACTCGCTTGACCGAGTTCCAAGGTAATACAAGCGTAGCGAAATATGAATTAAATTTTGCAGGGACAAGTAGTTCCCCATTTGTTTGTGGTTCAATACGGCAAAGCAGCGTGGATCCTGCTTTCGAGATTTATCTGAGTAGTTCTAACTGATAAGAACCTTCGAATTTTTGACGGTTCGCATGCAGTAACTAGTTGAATTATTGCGACTGCGTTTTCACTTTGTGTCGGGCGAAACTGAACTAAGGTCAACAAACCGTATGCGATTGTACAATGATATGAGCAGATACTCCCTTCGTCTAAGTGCAGGGTTTATTTCTTTTAAGTCTAAGGCCATGATCTCATAAGGATAAGATTTAACCTTACGGTACACTTTGTATCAAATCACAGAATGCAACAAAGATATTCAAAAGGATTTTTACATATTTATTTATCAATTTATGTATGTATAAATAACGGTATGATTTTGCTACAATGAGCTTTCGGGATCTAGTATAGATATGCCTTCGTAATTTCAGGATTAATTTGTGATCGCTGTGTTATCAAATTACTAATTTCTTGCACGTGACAAAGGTGTGTTTGTGGGCGTGATCGTGGGTATGATCATCATATGATCATGAAATTACTATAGAATGATTATAGGGTGATCCAGAAGTTCATGGACAACTTTCAGCAGTAATCTTCCCTTGACTTTTAAGTATATCGTTTGGTGGTCAACAGTGAAAGTTAATTTGAGAATCGCAGGATAGTGATACCCCTTTTTAACCTTTAACCTCTAAGAGAGACTAACATCTAATTTCTCCTTACAATATATTGCCTCTGAATTAGGACTCCCCCTCCCCTCCCCCAAATTTTGTGACCCTTTTCCCACATGCAGAAGTTCCACTGTAATTATCACTGTCTTTTTTACAGATGCTGATCTTTCAGATACATATGTACCCATTAAAGATGCATCCACCAGTGTTCAAGCTTTGGAAGGCAGAGTGCCAAACTATCTGTTGTTAGTTTCTCTACTGGAACATCTCTGTTCTTTGTATGAGACTGATCCAGAGAAAAGCAAGAAGATCTTTAATGGTGAGATTTGAAAACCTTGTCACATTTTTTGAAATATTAAACTCGAAATGCACAAGTCCAATAATTTTAAAGAACTGTAATGGTCACCAAGAGGATCTGCTGTGATGTTGCTTATGGGCAGATTTTGAGCTTTTATGTTTGATGATCTCTGTCATAGGTGTACAAGTAGATGTTCAAACTAATTAATCTTAATATATATCTTTCTGAAATATGTCAGAAACGAGTAATGGTAAAATTTCATTAAGTTCTTCTTGGGCGATAGATGGTACAGATTGAACCTTTGAGTGTTCTCTATACTTAATGTAATTAAAGTGGAATTTAATTGACAGGAACTTTCTTTGTTGCAGTTATCTGTCAGCAGCTTGTGAAGATGAAGGTATGCACTTGTTTTTAATTCCTGGGTGGCACAAGCAGGGACAGAAAGAGGACATTGTCCAGTATACTGTTCTGTGAGATGTAAAATGCTACAAGAATTTTTTTTCAGGTTTATTTTCACCACTACTTACTGCGAGGATCATAACTGCAAGGATCCCTTTCACATACCTTTCTTAATATGTGTAGATATATGATTTTCTACAAGAAAGTTGTCAAGCTATTGTTCTATTGATATGGTGCAGAGAAGTTAGGCGCTAGTCATTCCTCGGAGTCAAGGGTGACAAGGGTTAAAAATGCAACTGATTTATGTTTTTTCCAGGTGATGCCACCTTTTTCATTTATTGAAGAATTCAGTGTTATCAGAGCAAAATACAAAACAGTTTTTAGTGATCTCATGCAAGCTGCTGCAAAGACTACTGGAACTGATGTAAGAAAGCATGTTTGCACCACAGCATTTCAGACTATGAATTGAGATTGGGATGCATTTATACTGTTGGGATCTGTAAGCTCACAATAAATATATCTAGAGTTTTCCATTTACACATGCAGTCCATTACACATCCATTTACACATGCAGTGCAGTGTCAATGCACACACTCTTCCATTTTTCCCCTTTTTTATGATAAACAATCTCTTGCTAAGTGGCAGTGAGAGAAAACAAAACCCAATTTCAAAAAGTTACACATTCAAGTACTTCAAAGTTTTCTTGTCATCCAGAATGTCTAGGAATGATCCCATTATTAAGCTAAATGAACAGATGAAACAGCTCTGAACTTGTTAATCTACCACACTGCAAAATCTTGAGAAAACATGATGATGTCACACTCCTAACCTTATGCTCTGATTGGTTTGTGTCAGCCAATTATTACTGTACACACCATTTGAGAATTTTTTTACCTGTACAATTAATGTACCTGGGCTAATACAATGCAACCACATCCTTTGCCTCACAACTTCATTATGCTCTCACATTGGGTCAGAATAAGGATAAAAATCTACAAGAACCCACTGTGAAAGTATGCAAAACATTTTTTAAAAAAATTAATGTTTGGTATGTTACTGAAATTTCAGCTTCTTAGTATTCCATCTGGATTGAGGAAACCAGCCCTAAGCACATATAACAGATGTATCTGTAGGTAAGAAATTGGGTTGTACTTATTCACTTGTTTTCCTTTTAGCAGAAATAAACCATTTTTTGTCTCGTTTGGATAAATGTTTCTAATTATTTGGATTCACTCCTCGGAGTTATTAATTTAATTTTATTTTGATTTCACTCTTGTCTTTTTAGGAGCCTATCTGCTCCCCAAAAAATGAAGGATCTTTTGCAAAATGGAACTTCACGTTATAAGGAGGAGTTTGTAGAGATCATAAGACTTGGTAAAGGAGGCTTTGGAAGTGTTTTCAAGGTTTGTGGCTTAAGCATAGCTTTGGGAATTGCAGGAGTTTATTTTGTCATCAAACTTCTTGCTCATCTATTAGGATAAAACTCAAGACTGAAGTCATTTTGGTTTTTTCCCTTTTAAGGTGAAAAACAAACTTGATGGTAGAGAGTATGCCGTGAAAAAGGTTCCACTTAAAGAAACAAATCCTGATCTTTGTTTGAAGGTACACCCAGAACACCACAACAGTAATTCTACCTCTGCTAGCCATCAGATTTTTTATGTAATTTAAACACAGGTGAAGTGGAAGATGTGGGGGCCTGATGTTAAGTACACTGGACTGTGGGTTGAGAGGTCCTGGTTCACAACCTGGCCAGGTTGTATTCTTGGGCAAAACACTTTACTTTACTGTGCCTAGCTCTCTCCACTCGGGAGGAGAAATGGGCACCAGCAAATTATTAGGAATACTTCATTAAATGCGAGGGGATAACCTGATGGAGCAACACAGTGAGACAATAACAGTCCATTAAAGAATTGGTGTTTAAACTAGCAAGAACTTTCAAGCTATTTAAAGAATTATTTTTTTCTGTCAGGCCTTGCAGATTACAACTATTACCACAGACTGGATGCAGTGATACTCACATGCCTTTGCTTCCTGTATGTAGGTTTTGCGAGAGGTCAAAGTTCTGGCAAACCTCAGTCACAGTAATGTTGTAGGATATCATGCGGCATGGCTAGAGTATGTGACAACAGATACAGTCAGCACTGCTATGCCCAGTAAGGAAAAATCTTTGTAAACCATAGGCAAAAAATGAAAACCACACTTTGCAAGGAATAAAATCCAGTCAAAGAACTGGTGTAGGTTAAGAGAATTTAAACAGTTCACACAAGTCTAGTGGGGATTAAAGGATTTGCACAGAGTCGAAAAAGTGTTGAATTTGTGCATGAAAAACTTCTGTGCATGAAAAACTTCTGCCTTGGAATAACATAATTTGTGTTCTCTTTGCTTTTATAAGAGGTTGTAGATGGTGACTAATTGAAATAAGTTTCTCATCAGGAGTAGCTACCGTTCCCACAAGTCTTCAGGAATTAAGTGACCTTTCTTCTTTAAATGGAATTCACAGGTAAGTACTCTTCTTTGGCAAACTTGAACTTGCCCTAGGCTTGCAACAAATGTTCAAGATCTCTCTTCATCTGGAACTTGCGTTTTGAGAGGCTGACATCTTTCTTCATTCTCAGTGCAAAACTCTTTAAACCTCATTTCTGGTGGTTTCATGTTGAACTAATTCAGGTTTAAAATGAAAATTTTAAGGTTCAAGTAGTCCAACTTTTATTTACTTTGTGTTACATTATTATGCATGCTGTTGTCGGTTTGTAAAGGGTTAATGAGATGTTTGTCAACTTATAAGGTCTTCAAAAAATCATTCGCCATACTGCTCACTAGACATTTCCTAATATGCTAACCACAGGGGGCCCAGACAAGCGACGAGTCTGGTTGTCTTTAACCCCTAAAAGTGACTAGCATCTTATTTCTCCTACGACATCACCCCTGAATTACACATTTGAAAAACAAATTAAAGAAGCTCCTGATTGTTCAAACAGTTTCTCTTGGTTAGCACCACAGGGGGCCCAGACAAGCGACGAGTCTYGTTGTTTGTTCGAAATATAAAGGAATGTATGGGAGAATATTGAAGAGTCTTATTATCGTAAACTTATATCATGAAATGTCTAAGTTAAAGCTCAAAATAAATGTAAACCTACCTCACTTGCTGTGTATTGTCGTTTCCGTGGCTCTAAATGGCGAATTTGAGCGATTTGGTGGGTTTTGCGTCGACTGTTACTATACGTTATACGTTATAGTATAACTATTCTATACTATACTATACTAACTATACTATACGTTATAGTAACAGTCGACGCAAAACCCACCAAATCGAAATGACAATACACAGCAAGTGAGGCAGGTTTACATTTATTTTGAGCTTTAATTCAGACATTTCATGATATAAGTTTACGATAATAAGACTCTTCACTATTCTCCTGAACATTCCCTTATATTTCGAACAAACAACCAGACTCGTCGCTTGTCTGGGCCCCCTGTGGCGCTAACCAAGAGAAACTGTTTGAACAATCAGGAGCTTCTTTAATTTGTTTTTCAAATGTGTAATTTAGGGGTGATGTCGTAGGAGAAATAAGATGCCAGTCACTTTTAGGGGTTAAAGAGTCAGACACATCTCTCGTTTCAGGATCATGGAAGTTAGTCAAGACAGCCAAAATAGTATAGTCTTTGAAAGTTCGTCTCAAGATCCCTCAAACAGTGGCATTGTGTTCATGGCTGATAATAATTCAGTGGGGACTGGGAACCAGGCGGAAGGAAAGCTGCGTGGCACCCATGGTATGATGCTTACCTGTCGTTTTTTACCCGAGGACGTTTCATACTAAGTCGATTCGTACCCAGCTAGGACCATTCGTATCCAGTCTGTGAGCCTTTTCGTACTCACACTTATAATTAAGAAATCGACTGTGGTTTAGCGTGGTCTGTACTCTTATCGACAACGTTATTCATCATCACAGTGTCAAAATGTTGTGGACTAACGAGGCGCAGCCGACGACCGTAAACTCGCCAATCAGATTGCGACATTACTGTCAATTGTGGTAAAAAGTTTTCCATGAAAGTATGTTGTTGCAGGCAACAATCGACATCTGTTTACACTCGCGCGTGAGGTATCTACTGGATTTTGATCGTCACCGAATATTTTAAGGGGTACGAATCGACCAGCTTAGTGGGTAGGAACCAACACAAACTGGTTACGAATCGTGTGAATTTGGATACGAATCAACCGAGTACGAAACGACTGGATACCAGTATGGTACCTGAGTCACTATGGCTGTTTTACGCAGGTAGTAGTGAGATAGATTTGGAATGGTGGTCAATTTTGATATCAGAAGTGCTACCATCTTCCTTTATCTATTTATACACACAACGCCTTTGGAATTTCTAATGCTCTCTTCCCAATGTTGCGTTTTTTGGGGGCAGTCTAGTTTTTTTTCTCTACCGTTATTGACGTGCGGGGATGTGGAAATGCTTCAAAAATTGTGAAGAGAATTATAGTTTGTGTTTGGGTCATCGAAAACTCTCACTCTGCGTGCAATGAAGTTTCTTTCCGTTGATCAATCTCAAAAGCTTAAGACCGGGAAGTCTGGTCTTTCTTTGCTGAAATATCGTTAAATTAAAGACGGGGAGACTGAGCGTCGCAGAGTGAAAGATGTACTGCGTGTTCACTTTTAACTATCATTTTCAATGCACAGCCGAAGGTCGCTTGGGCAAGATCCATTCAACCAACCTCAGGAGCACCAATAGTACTCGTAACAGCAGGGCCCCTTATCATGCATCACGTCGCAGCATCCGCCGATCAGCGTCCAGTTCAAGCTTAGGCTCCATGGCGGGTAAAGATGGCGACCGTATTGATGACGAACAAAGCAGCGAGCTGAGTAGCGATCAAGGCAGTGCATTAACAGAGAGCATACTGAAAAGTACAGCCGTTAACAAGGTGAAAATGTTTGTTGAGACTATAAGAGCATTGTTCAATTAAGTATCGAAAGTAATCCCCGAATGCTTTAGTGTTGCTTAACTTCGCTCTGTGATTGGTTTAGAAAGCTCGTGTTACCATCTCAACCAATCAGATGCAAAAGTAAAACCAATTCCAGTTTGGACACTCGCGTTATGCCGCGCTTCAAACTGGTTGCTTGTTTTTACTTTAAGTTCTCATTAGTTAATGAAGATGTCATTCTAATTTCTAATTGGTAGTTGTGATTACCTAGGTCTTGTCTTTTTTTCGTCTTGTCTTTTTTTCGTCACTGTTGAAAGCTGCTCTAATGCGCTTATAATCTAAATCTACGCATGAAAACCTAATCTAATATTACAGTGTAACATGGAAACAGTGGCATGATACATTGGCAAGTTTCAATTTTTTTTAGATTGTCCTTTATCTGCCAAACAGGTCTACCATGTCCCTTCTCTTTTCATAACTCAACATGAAGAAAAGTTTAAAGATATTGTTCCTTTCCTGTTAATGTTCAACTGCTGTAAAACAGAACATCGCAAAAATTTGTAATTTTCAGTTGAAATTTCACTCGTTTTCATCCGCGAAAAACACAAAAAGTGGAAGCAAGAGTGATGGCAAGCGCTATAAAGGAATAACAAACTGCACGTTTTAGTTTGTTATTTTGGTTGGTGGCTTTCGTTTATTGTTTCAATATGGTTCTTCATTGTGTCCTCAGCGTCTAGGAATGGTGCTGTTTATTCAGATGCAGCTCTGCACTACGACACTGCGAGACTGGCTGGTGAAACGTAACGAAGACATCTCTCACGCCATTGGTAAGTACCAAGGGAAAGAATTCTTATCGACTGCAATTTCCCTGATTTCTTCACGGTGGTATTTCACTGTATGTTTTACTTCTTCTTTTTTTTTATCAGACGGCCAAGTCGACAAATCAGCTGTTGTGGAAATTTTTCGTCAAGTTGTGGAGGGTGTGAGCTACATCCATTCTCAAGCACTTCTCCATCGAGATTTGAAGGTAACGTCATGTGCAAGTGCTGTGGCTGTCACGAGATGTGTAACGAGTGTGCGTTTACCCATTCCCTTTCTGCTTCATCTTTCTCTCTCCCTCTCTTTTCCCCAACGATCCAACGATGAAGTATGAAGCAAGGATCTGTAGCTTTTATTTGTCACACAATCTTTCTTACAAGATATAAAATGCGTGACAATGATTACAATTTAGTCACAAATCACAGAACATTATTCAAGAGATAAAAAATGATATTCATAAAAAAATACCTCAAGAGAAAATCGTGAGGTGGACCCTATGTACATGTATAACCGATCTCCCTAAAATAAAAACGAAAATCAGAATCTAAAATCTAAAAATTTCTTCGCACATCGTGGTCAATTATTTATGTAAGTCTTTAGTCTGTTAAAAAAGAAAGTCAACGATGTAGCATGCAGGACTTCTCTGGGAAAGAAATTCCGCACATGAACTGTCCACACCTAGAAAGATACTGGTAGCTCTTCCGAGTAGGTGCTTTGTACATGCGAATTTTAGTCGTACGTAACAGTAATTTCATCACCACATTCTCTTCCAGCCAAGAAATATCTTTCTCCAAGGACTCAGACATCCAAAGGAGGAACGACATAGTTTCCAGGTCAAAATCGGGGACTTTGGTTTGGCCCGGAAGGAAGTGGTCGTGAGTCCTGGAGCTAGTAGTCCGCTGGCCAGTTTAATTGAGCCACCCACCCCGTTGTTCCCTTTAGGTATAGAAGTACTGTATTACTAGCCGTGTGTTTACTGTGTTGTTGTTGTAATTTTCAAAGTTACCAGGTAACATTCATTTGATTAAATCAAACAGGATATTCTGGTAAAGATGCTCCCACGGCTGGTGTTGGCACATGCACTTATGCTTCGCCCGAGCAACTAAGGAACAACATATACGATAACAAGGTGAATGTAAATGATTTACAACAAAGTACTATTCGAACGAGTTTCGTAAGTACTAAAACGGAGTGAAGACAACGGTGACTCAAAAGAAAGGAAAATATCACAAGGAAACAATCAGGAGTCAGACTTGGTTTTACTTTTTCATGGGATTGGTCGAGAAGATAGTCCTCTTATTTAGGTGGGGTCCGTCACGGAGGGTAAAAAAGAAAATAAAAAACCAAAACAAAAAATATGTTAGTGCCCTGTGGTTCGCCGAAAAAAGGGACTGCTTGCGGTCTAGTTGAGTCGTCGGTGCATGTTGTGTAAACCATTAACAGAGCAAACTGAAGCAGTCTGTGATTGCTGAAATTGCTAGACTCTACTGATTGGTCTACACGTGTCGGCGCGTGTTGAGCTGTTTACCAGTTAGTTTGGTTAGTTCCAAAACGTTTTACGACACCGGCCTACATTTTACCCTGATGGTTCTCGTTTACAACTATATTCTTCGCTTTTCGTCGATGTTTATCCGTAGACTCTAGCTCGGTATTCGTCACGCCCAGGTTGTTACAATTGTTACAAATTATGACAACCGGGGTGCTTCCTATTACTTGCAGAGAAGAAGCAATTTGTTCACCTGGAAAGTGAAATGTATACCAAATGATATGTTGAAATTCTTTGAAATGCACATATAGATAACCGCTATTTTTACCAAAGCTAGTCCATGAGGCATTTGTTTCTTTTGATCGCAACTAAATTGTAACATGATGTTTCAGCTTTTCTTTTTTTTTTTTTCTCATTTGACTCAGGCGGATATTTACAGTTTGGGAATCATCCTGTTCGAGCTGTATTGTCATTTTGGTACCGAGATGGAACGAGTAAAGAGCATTAAAGAACTCAGGCAGGGAAGGTTGCCAGATGACTTTTGCAAGAAATGGCCAGAAGAGGTAAGAGTAACATGATTTTAACCATCGATAGTGTATAGGTGCGCTTAGAACCCAAACGGCTATCTATTCCCTCAATTATATCGTGTTTGAGCGCTTTTCGATCGCCTCTTGTAAAGCCAGAGCCAAAGTCACCATAACAACTAATTTAAAAGACAAAGAAAAATATCGTCAGGAGCCAACATGTCCGACTTGACTTTGGTTCAGTATGGGATTCCTCAGGGTAAACGATCTACCTAATGCTATCCCACCTGGAAACGTACTCATGTATACAGATGACACTACAATATATTGTATAGGGAAAAACTTTGATGAGGTATGTCTTAAACTGATCAAAGTCTTTGATGAATTAAGACTTTGGAGCCTTAGGTCTAAGTTGAACATTCGCCCCATTAAAACTGAAGCCTTGATTCTTACTAAACAGGGTTTTATCGGTCCCGCACCCCCAATATTGTTCGGAGACAAATGTGTCAACGTTGTGGATCATACTTCTTGTTTGGGACTGATTATTGATAACTGTTTGTCTTGGTCAAAGTACATTTGACATATAAAGAAACACTTCTCACAAAAAGTTGATGCCTTAAAACGTATGCGGAAATTACCCCCTAAAGTATTAGAGAAAATTTATTTCAAATCCATTATACCAGCAGTAACATATGGTATAGTTGTGTGAGGGAATTGTAGTTCTGCTATGCTCAACTCCTTGAATCCTATACATGAAAGAGCAGCTAGGCTAATTCATGAACAAGATGATCTTCAAAGTCTTAATTGGCTTCCCATGTCATATTTCTACAACAGGCGTTTACTGCTGTTCATGTTCGACGTCATCAAAGATAATGTTCCTGACAACCTTGCATCTTTATTTACTCTAAAGTGCGGCAGTAGATCTTCACGAAGGGGAAGCCAATTTGTTATTCCACGTGTAAAATATGAAATTGGCAAACAATCTATTCAATATAGAGGACCAATAATTTGGACATTTCTTAATAGATTATTCAATATAAATGAGACAATAAGCAAAGACAATTTCAATCGAATTTTACGTAGATTTTCCAGGGACATCAATAATTTCTCGTTTAGAGCTCCCATGCTAGTTAACAAACATAAGGACTATGTATATTTTTAACTTGATTTTATCCTCTACATTTTATATAATCTTAACTTATTTTTCTTTTCTCTTGACTATCTTTTATTACCAATATTGTTATAATATATGTGCATATGGACTTTTTATAATCTTTGGATGCAGGTCCACATCAGCCCTTGGCTGCCATATTATGTAACATAACCTGCTTTATCAAGTAAACGAATTTATATAATGAGAAATCAAAGTAAAAACAGGTTAACTGTTTGAAGCGCCAAGGACAAGTTAAAAGAAACTGACTTGCCATGTTTCGTTGCAGTCTAAGCTGATATTGGAGATGATAGCTGAAAACTCCAGCAACCGGCCTACCGCAGAGTCTCTTCTTGAGCTTGGTTTCTTAAAAGCAGAGCACACGGTAAGGGTTGGATTTCTATTCCGTTTATCTCACTCTATGTTTAATTGTGTTGCATATTAGTTTTTGTTTTCTTGTTTAGTTCGTTTAAGTTTTGAGTTTTCTTAAAAGGTAGTTTTCTACCTTGAAATACTATCATAATCATTGGTAGCAAATAAAAGCTAGTAAGTATTTACATAAAGAGGAGCCAGCCTTCCTGTAGAGGAATGAAGGCCAAAAATGTTTTTTCTTCCGATATTAAAAATTCGTTCCACTGCTTCTTGGAGTGAGCTTACCTGATAAAATATGTGTGCTTATTAGTTTTGTTGTTAGTATTGCAACGCCTGTTAAATTTGTGACGTATCGACCTTCTTATCTCATGGGAAGTACATGTATACGAAGGGCAAATGAATGAACGGGATACGTTTTTAGTAGTTTAAGACGATTTGGTTTTATCAACTGAGTTGTTAATGTAAATTGGCCGCTGTTAAGAGTTTCGTAAGGTGGAATTTCGAGCGTGCGTTATCCCTTCACCAGAGCTCTGACAAAGGGCCATGCTAAGTAAACCTGTCTTCTCTTCTCCACAGCGAAGCTTATTATTTCTCTGGCCTTGGGGGGGGGGCACGTTAGGGTCAAGAAAGCCAGGGTGGGGAGGGAAGATAGGAAAAACATCAATCCAAGCTGTCCTTCATTTTTCGAAGAATATGGTAGGTCCCTCCGCACTTTTGTTCAGGACAGCACTTGACGTTTATATGTCAAAAGCTTACATACTTGATGGGTCTTTTACAGCAACTAAGTGATCGCCTGAGCGAAAAGGTCAAAGAACAAGCATCTGAAATGATCGAACTGCGAAAAATGCTGTTACAGAAAGACGAAGAGCTGGATGCCAGGACAGATGAAGTTAGCGAACTGAGGCGGCAGCTTGAAGAGAAAGACAAGCTTATAGAACAGATGCTGGCTAATAAACAGCTCTGTACCACATGCAGCCGAAAGCTTGTCAATCAAGTCGAGGAGATGGATACACGATGACCTTTTACTACACAGGGTAGAGGAGATGGCGCGAAATAACTTGGTTTCATTACTCCCAGTTGAAGACCAACAGGGAAAGCGAACGCATAAGTGACTTTTCAGGTCTTCTCCATAGTGCTTGTTCCAAAATTGTCAGTGTAAGTGCTGTCTCACCTGGAAAGTATTCTAATGACGAACAGCATTGTTAGGCTTTTCAAATTCTATTTAATTTAGAAACACATCTTCTCATGCAAATTCACAGGTAAGATAATTTAGTGAAAATTTTCAATGTGGGTGGTAGAAGTTATTTTTGTACACAATATGAGAACTCAGGTAATTTTAGAGTCAAACTCTGAATTGTAGAGAGACGAAATTATGTGTTTTGTTAATGCAGGTGTTTTCAGTGTACCTTACCGTATTTATTCGATTACACGCCCGCCCTGTGGGTAATAATTGAATAATAACCTCGAATGAGCCCCCATCCTCAAGGTCCTGGGCGCTTAATCGAATAAACACGGTAATTAGTACCTGTAGGATTTGAAGTATTGATTAGAGATGAGCAATTTTTTTGTAAGGTGGCTCAAAGCGGTGTTGTTAATTTTAGTTAATTGTTGAACAATTCTTTTATACTAGCATCCACCCCTTTTGTTTTTTCGCTCCATAAAATTGGTATAAATAGATGCCCAACCATTCCTCGACGAGTCGTGATCATTTTTGAAACGATTAAGGTTGCCATAGCAACACTACAGTCCTTTGGTAGAAAGATGAATATTGAAATAGTGTAAAGTAAAAGTAAAGTCTGTTTACGAGCCAGTGGCCCATCAGGCCGGCGCTTAACTCTGGTTTCTGTAGCATGAAGCGACTAGGAGTATTTCTACTCCCCCCTGGATGGGATGCTGGTCCATCGCAGGGTTACCCCCCAGCATTAAATTTGCCGGTACCCATTGAAACACTTGGGTGAAGAGAGGCACTGTGAGAGTAAAGTGTCTTGCCTTAGAACACAACACAATTTCCCGGCCAGGGCTCGAACCCGGACCACTCGATCCAACCATTAGGCCACCGCGCCTCCACAGTGAATTAGTGATTGCCGGCTAATTAAAGATGTTTTTGAAGGGCTGTTGTTATGGCATCCCAGTATGCCTTAAAAATGATTCAAATGAATCAAAGGATAATTTGAATCGTCCTTGACATTGTCTTTAATAGAACACACGGAGAAGTGAAACGATAACGAATCATACAAGAAATGGTGTTTAAGAATAACGAAACCACTTGGGGCCACCTGAATATGAATTGGTCGCGTTAAAGAACTAAATAGTCCATACGTTAAAAGAAATGTCAGCTCTAGTTTATCACTGAGTAGAAACGCAAGATGAATGTGGTTACTATGCTTTCGCTTTTTAAAATTTTAATTTATTTTTACGATTTGTATATAACGGCTGTAACGCAACAGTTTTTGGTTTGGATCAAACAATAAAACTGTTGGGAAATAATACGTCGTTATAAAGTTCATTTGACCAACGTTTTCACGATGTGCTATTATTGTTTCCAGGGTCACGTAAATAGAATTAACCAATCACATTCTAGGAAACGTACATTGATTCCAACCGAATCCAATTGTGCCATTGGTTGCTAAGAACTAGAGCGAGCAGCGATCACAAAGAATAAACGATAGAAATCATCGCTCGTTTTTTGAAGTCTATTTACCTCCGAAACAGCAGTAGCATTGTAATTAAGACCCAAAGTCCCAGTCCTCAAGCCCTCTGCCAGCTCAACAACGATAGTCACTTGTGAGATCGGGGAATCCACTCTGTTATATGTCCGCGCCAACGATCTTATCGCACCCTAGAAGGGGATTATATTTGTCTAAAACAAAAGAGCAGCTCAAGGTCTCGTGTCTCAAATCAGCACTCGGTTATTGGTGGAGCGAAGGAGCCATGGGTCATGAACTACCGCTTGCCTTTTCTCAGATAGTGTGTAAGACGCGGTCGTGAACGGTTCGCGCACTGCACTGCAGGTCGAGAGGCCTGGGTTCAAGACCTGGGTTGGTCATTGTGTTGTGTCTGAGCAAGACACTTTATTATCACAATGGCTCTCTCCACGCTGAAATATAGATGGTTTACAGTAGAACTGTCAGGGTAGCTTGACGAGAAGAGGTAACCTTGCGATAGACCGGCATCCCATCCAGGAGAAGTAAAAGTTGTCCCAGTCGCCCCAAGCTACAGAAACCTGGATAAGCCTCAAGACGTTAGGCCACTTGGCTTGAATGAAGAATTCACCTTCACCTACCAGAATTTACTTTGACTTGAATTTACTTGGCTTGAATGAAGAATTCACCTTCACCTACCAGAATTTACTTTGACTTAAAGTGAAAATATTATTTTATTTGAGACCTCAGGCAAAAGCGATCATTGAATAATTTACTCGTAAAATGCAGTGAGGATCCAAAGGAAGGTAGGAAAGAGTCGAATCCAAATGTGTTTTAGTTTCTCGGTTAGATAATACTGAGTTAATAAAGTAAATCGTTTATGAAACTGGGTTTTCGCTCCATGCTAAATGTTAAGAGTAATATGTATCTAACGCTGGATTAAAACACACACAAAACACGTAGAAACGAATGGTGCTAAAATTTTATTACATGCTTTAGTCCATTTTTCGTGCGGGTTGGATAAAAGGCGTGGAACTATTGTGCTTCTGTTGTACTAAATATCAAAACAGTGCAAAAGTTACACGAATTATTCGACTCCTCAGCCAACTGAAATCTTCTCAGATTTTCATGGAATACATGCCACTTACATGTCGTGCCAGCCGGAGATGAAATCTGTTGTTTTGAGTGATCGATGTATGCTTTTCACACTTTGCACACGAACATTGACTAACTAACCATGAATATTCTAAGCAACGAATTATGATTTGCATGCACACTTGTTTTTTTTGTTTTTTGTTTTTGTTTTATTTGTTTTTTTTTTAGTGTTTTTTCTGTTTTCACTTTTTCAACTTATTTCAAAAGTTATTACTTTTCGATGTCTGTTAGGTTAGTTTAATACTAGACCATCATCTATCCACCAGTGTTAGTTACTTGCCATTTTCGATGAGTATTGTAGTACGCGATAAGCACTAGAATTCGCGGCTAAAATCCTCTCTGAAATTTCGCATGCTAAATGTTTATTCTATTTCGATCTAGAAGTGAGTTAGCGAAAACGACCACCTGGCTAGGTATTACATTGCTTTGTTCGCTGGTTGAGACACAAGCGAAGAATCTTCAGCATGTTGTTATACCCAGGCATTAATTTACTCCATGAAGCGATTTGAGTAATTGTTTGTTTCTGTAGTATACGTTTTTGCTTTTAGCCATTTCTCGCTTCATTTTTGAGCATAGACAAGCGTACTTTTTCGCCCAAAGGTTCATTAGGTTTATACTTTTCTATGGCGACTTTCACCATGGCTACACCTCTTCCACACGTCATTAAATATTTGCAGTCATACCACGTGTATGGACAGCGGCTTGTGGTTTGTTATCTTCGTCATGTTAGCAGCGTGCTCTTTCTGTTTCCAAACACGATTTCTTGGATAAAGATCGCTAACACTGACACCCACAAAATACCAATACTGGACACCTTTTCCCAAGAGAGAATCATTCCTCCGACAGAAAAACCCACCTCCTTGATAAGCCCTTGTAAGTACATAACATACGACTTGAAATTAAATTTGTTTTTCTTTCTTGATTTGCTTTGAACATTTCCACCGTTCATTGAGTTCGTCGTGAAACCCGGATTCACGATGCAAGTCGCAGGCAGGCATGACTCCGAAAAGGTGTCTTCCTCGCCTCCCGTCTCCATATCGATTAATCGCAATGGGTTTTTAACTCCTAAGAGATTTCGATTTTTAACGTTTTGCGACAAGTCATCGATTGTCAGAGAGGGTCTGGATTCGCTTACTTGAGATTCCCACCTTTGGGCTGCAAGTGACATGCGTCTGTCCTGACGCAGAATAAGTCTCTTGCGTTTAAGCGTTTTCAGTAGATTTGTGCTGGCTATCAGAACACTACGTGAGCGGTTTACTCTCAGTTTCTTCATAGCCTCTTGGTATTCTTCCATATCTTCCTCCTCAGACCCGCTTTCGTCCGATTCGGGGTGCTCGCCCCAGGATCTCACGACAGACGCCACGTAGGCCTGGTAGTTCTCTGTAGCCCACGCTGCTAAGATCAGCGGTGCTATGCTCCAAATCGAGGGTACCAGTGCAAACCACAAATAGATGGCCCGGCGATTGAAGAAAAGAAAGTTGTAGCCGTTGATAACAAATGACAGAACGGTAGTCAGGACGAGATTACATAACATGAACTAAAAAGAAAACATAAAACAATACGAAAATAAATTAGATGTTTGATCCAAAACAACTGATTACCACAAGAGAAGAAATCAACGAACAGAGCTCTAGAATTTACCGCCATACTCGATATTTTGCTGAATTTATTCCACTTGCAGGAACACTCATAAGTATGGGGCCCCGCTGCACGCTCACTTCGCGCGTTGTGAGCTCCGCCATCGGATTTAATGCCTCATGCCGCCAATCTGCTGACTGCGGGCAATAACCGTTTCTCTGAATAAATAATCATTTGAAATCTCTATTTGTAAGAGATGGAAAATGTCAATCTGTTTAAAGTACGTTTTCTTACCAAACATGCATTTGATGATCTCCTGATGAACTGCGATCGATGTTCAAACAACTGAACTGCTTCACGGAAGGTCAGTCTGACATTCGGCTCACGAAACTCTCCCTCCACACCATCTAAAAACAGAAATAACTATTCTTAATTCCCTCCCTTCTTCAAGATAGAAACCATTTCCTCGCTCACGTTTTTTTTTATCCACGAATACTGTTAAAAGTAATAGAAATACCTGAATCTTAAACGGTGGAAAGCTTTTTTGATTCTTACCTCGGAATTCTTTCATGGAGGCTCCAGTGACATACATAGTAAAGAGGATGATAACAAGGAATAGTATGTAACCATAGAGCACGTGAAGTAAACTTAGCACTCTTACGATGTTGAGGAGGACTGATAACCAGGGCTTTCCAAGCTCAAGCTGTACGGCGTTATCAATGAAATAACACACGTATTGACCACATGCCGCCAATATGCTGGCTGTGGGCAATAACCACGGCAGTTTCTGTGGATTAGTAACCATTGAGTTAAAAACTGACGAAAGTAAATTTTCGTTAAAGAAGAAACGTCCACTCGATCTCGATTGTAATTTCATGAACCTGAAAAGCTGCTTATTTATCGTATCTGTGTTGAAATAATTATTTATAAAAAGATCCTGGACTAACTTTGACTGGATTATCTAACAAGGAAATTTTTAACCTTGAAGACCATTAGCCCAATTTTTGATCCGGAAATGAAATGCCGGATTATTGCAACGTTTATTTTGTTTTGCTATTCCTCTGTTATCTTTTTTTAACGTCAGAGAGGTTCCAATTTTTTTGAGTCTCCTTTAGCAAGCTAAACAGCAGAAGGGTACACTGCTTTCTAACTTGTTTCACTGTACTACTTTTGAGGGTTTCCAAAGCCTTAATCATACGGTTCCATTGCATAAGGAATTAGCGACTTTACTTTGTAGCTGTTAAGTCCAAATGAGTCCATTTATTTTCACTTGATTAATTTTCAACTGGTAATGAGAATCTTTTAACACCTTAAAGGTAATATTCGGCGCTATTAATACCAAGGAACATAAAGTAAAACATTGCTCAGCTATCAGGATCGCCATACAATTTCTTTGATCCTGCCAATACTTAACAAATCGGGGTGAATCACGAAGTGATGGTTGATTAGTAGACTATAAATAGATATTTTCAGGTTTAATCAATTCGCTTTACCTTTAAGAGGAATAAACAGGATTGAAATTTCATCTGATTCAAAACCGAAAAAAAGTTTAGTTTGATAAATCTTCTGCCATCCATACCTGAATTTCAATGCAACGTTGACATCTTTGAAAGAAAATTTTTCTTGCGATAAATTATTTTTTAGCAAAAGATAATTCCTCCACAAGACACGAGTTGAAAGTTAAAAAAAAAAATTTTCTGCGAACCGAGAGATGTTTTGAATGATGCATGGAAACAAACACGAAAACATTACTCAGAAATTGACTAGGATATTGTTATTGTTTTTGTTTTTCGGAAATGAAGTGAATGGTTTTTTAATTTCCGTAGAGGTGGGAATGGCAGTAATTAGAAATTTGAAAGCTATACAATCCAAGGAGAATAATCTGTGCATACTTTAGCAATAAAAAACCCATAACTATGCTTCTTTTTGTCATTTACCAATGCACGGATTGTACATGAAAAAAAAGCTTACTCAAATACCCTTTGAGCAGCGTAATAATCTGTATTCCTGACAAGTCGATAGGTTTCTATTTGAATAACAGATACAAGTGCTACCAGAGAGAACTGTTTGTTAATGAAACGTTATCAAAATCCGTTAGCATCTTACCAAAATGCATCGAAATATTTTTTCTTAAGAATTATTAAAAAATATTGAAGGAAAAAAAAATCAAATTAAAAGTGCACAACTGCTGTGCTCTTAGTATCGAGCAGTAGAAATGCAACTGATTTCTGAAAGGTATTTTTCATTGGGAAGAAATCTCCCCATTAAGACTGGTTGAAGATACTGAACACGTTGAAGAAAAGCTAACTTATATTTCACTGGCAAATAGAACGGTAAGTTTACCATGAAATATATACTAAAGTAAAAATTTCACATTTTGTTTAAAGAAGGAAGGGTTATATTTTCCATCCGTTTCTTTTAGAATTGTGAATAATAGATTCAACGTTAAAACAAGATTTAAAGAATAAAATCTAATTCCTACGTGGGTTTCAGTGGAAATTCCCGGTTGGAGTAGAGACGGGATAGCTATCAATGGCCGTTTTGAGGAAATCATACAAACTCGCTGATTGAAAATACAGCATAATTTTAAAAAGATTCATGCTGATATGTTTTTAATACAATACAAAACAGACTTAGAGTTAAAATTTGTCCTTGATTACATTTTCCTCTAGCCAAAAAATCGGTAGCTCAAACTGGATTCTTTAATAATAAAGATTTCTGATACTTATTAAGCAACTTATTCAGAAAAATCTCTTATTAATCTTTGTACCGGGTTTCAATATCTCACTTGTCACAATATCATTTCGTGCTTTGGAGAACTGCTTTGTTTTGCTAAAATACAGAGCGGGCAAATAGAGCCGATCTGGAGAGGCAGTTATTTGTTTTGAACATTGAGAAGGGTTATTCAAATACTGCAAGCTGCTTCAGACGTACAAAATCAAATTTGTGTAAATATCTGAATATTCTTTTTATTTCTTGAAGCTCATAAATTACGATGACGAATGCACGCTTCGCAAAAGCCGTTTGTTTGTAGATCATATTTAGATGGAACGATCTAATTTATATTTCTCTCTTTTTTACAATGCCGCTTTGCTATCGGGCCAAATCATTCAAGGTATTTCAATTGCAGATATAATGGAGTTTCAATTTACAATATTTTGAAATGTTTATTTTTCATTGCACCGACTTCAGAGACACATAACGTTAATATAAGCAATAGTGTTAGCATCTATTGTTGATAGAGTTTTTGCAACGATTAATATTCAGTTGAAGAAATTGAATCTTTCTCCTTGTTCCTGGGTTCACGCGCCGAAAGTTTTTGATATTCTTCGCCACAAAACTCAATAAAGATATTCTCAATTGAGATGTAATTTGACGGAAATATCGTGAATTCGCTGACTTATCTTATTGTTATTGAAATGAGAGTTGTTTGAAGAGGACTTTTTGCGAAGAAAAGAGATAATTTTCTATCTGACAGCTGCGTCGTATAATTTTATTGAGAACAAACTCCATGGTAGAATAGCTGAAGGTGAACGATGGCCATTGACAGTGAAATGATTCAGCCTCCTCTAAAGCTTTCAATGGGTTTCAAAGCATTTCAAAGCCTTTTACCGTAACAGAAATTATTACGGATAATACCATTCAACATCTTTAATAACCCACGTTTAGCAATAAGAACAAATCAAGGAAATTTATGACGGTCAAATTTGTGGAAAGCAAAATGGCTAAGTGACAGGCAAAGACTTTGCATCTCGGCAAATGTTAGACCCTTCGACTGAAATGAAGGGCAGGTTTTGGCGTTTTAATAATGGGCTTCACGAATTTCGAAAGATAGAGCGAGACAAGAAATAAAAATCTTTCGTGTACAAAATGTAAACACCAGCTGATGACAGAGTCATTAAAAAAGTCAAGTAGTGTCAGTAATTTTGTATTTTTAAATGTGATTTTGAAACCGCACTTCACGCACGTCTAGAAAAAACCACGAAATTTGATGGGACATGGCTGAAAAGAAAATAAATTGCCAAGTGTTGAAAAAAAATACCCTTTACTTACTGCCGCGATGCCACGCGCTTTTTCCAACGTCTCGGAAAAATTACCATCCACGTTTAAAATCTCCAGGCCATCTTCCAGCCATGGAAGTGTATCTCGGACTAGAAAGTATGTTCCCGAACAGAACGAAACGAAGAACAGCCCTATTGCTGTAGCCCATGCCCAACCAAAAATATGAGCAGCTTCGTAGAAGTCAAGCGAAAAATGGCATACTAAATTCACCACCCAAAGTACAAGCCCAAAAGTGCCGAGGATCGGATGATGTTTGCTTCTGTGTCCGATAAAGGCTGTTAAAACGTGGATCGGTCGAAGTACTTTATCCACAATTTCGCGGTTGAGAATCACAGTTTGTGTTGTATTCCTTTCAGGGATGGCCATTTTCTTCAGCGTTCTAAAGTAACGAACTATTGCAGATAACCTTGATTTTTCAGACATGATGCACACTGGTTGTCTAAACCGCTTCTCTTGAATGTGAGCGAATCTTTCCGAAAAACTTCAATTGGCGAAAGCTGCAGGAGCTGAATTGGAGTCATTTGCCCTGCAAATAACAAACAAATAAAGATTCTTTGTGAATAAATTCATCTTTAACGACGACTTTGCATTGATGAATGTGTTTTTCGCACGCGAAGTACGGCCTAACGCGTATTTCTTTTCTTGTTGTTTGCACGATCGCTTCGTTCACAACTTCTGTAGCTTTTAAAGCACTCAATAAAATCTCACTTTTACAGGTGTGCAAACAAAACTTAACGAGCCAACTATCTAAAACCCCTTCTTTAGGGCACTCTAGCAGCGACTTACATTCATCTCACTGAAGTGGTTGTCGTGGGCATTGTGAACTGATCGTAAATATGCACATAGCAACAAGATTTTAGTTTTGTTCAGTTACACGATAATCGTGTGAAATTGATAACACATCCCGCGTCAGTAACGTAATCTTTTCTTTCCTCTTACAGAGGAGGCCCTCGAGAAACGAATACAGCATTTTAATATCGTCAAACAAACAGTGATCATTGCTATTTGACAACTGAGCGCTTTCCCTGTGAGACTGAAAATTTCAGAATCCCTTCGCTGTTTTTTGACCTAAGTGTTCAGTTCACATCAATCTAAGTTAAAAAACTTTGGGGTAGGAAATTTCACACAAATAAGTTCGGACAATTTTGCGTTATCCTTTTTTATTCTCTCGCCGAAAGTGGTGATTTTCTTTTTAATCATATTTACATCACTTACCTATGCATCTCAAGATAAGGACTTGTATACAGTATCATAATTTCGTACCTGCCTGTGCTTTTAGCGAAAAATTCTGTCGGAAGAAAACTCTAGTTCTATCCGGTTCTTTCAAAAGTGAAATTCACAGCTTTATTGTCAGACGGTGAAGTGCCGTACGCTCGATTGCTTTGCAGCCGCCTTCTCCTCTTTGTTTCATTTCAGAACATAACGAAAATAGAATTAAGCGACCGTAAATCAGTAAAATCCCCCCGCGGGCATTTTCTATAGGACCGAACAGAATCAGTTTTTCTTCGCTAAATTCGCACGCCAGGAGGAGAACCGGCACCCAGTATTGCTTCCTAAAAAATCTAACTACTACAAAATTATCGAAAAGAAAATAGAAAAAAAAAAATACAGAGAAAATGTGACACGGTTTGAGACTAAAATCCGCCAAGAATATCTCTAAAACTTTTTATGGAAGATTTTCTAAGCCATTTTACCTTAAAAACGTGTCCAATCCCGTTAGATATCTCACGCACATGTTGGGTTGTATGAGGTCAAGATATCAAAGAAAATCACACATCTTCAGTAGAACTTCGTCAAGGATCTATTCAACGAGCCAGCGCGCTTATGATGTCACCGGGCCATATCAATTTTAATTGGTCAAAGCAGGCTGTTCTTGTTAAGATCTTAAGTAATAGGTGCTTTGATCAAATTGATATACTCCACGTTTAGGAAACTTGGTCTTGTTTTAATTCATTATCTGTGATTTTTAGCACATTTTGTGCCTAAATGCAAACTTCTAATGACTTCACTGACTAGTGCTAGCTGCTACCTTTAGGCTGTCTTTGCCAAGAAGGTTTTTACCACCTCCTTAACAATACCTTAAATGAACGTCTTTAAGCCTTATTGTATAAGTACCGAGATTTTCATTCAAAGGAGTACGATGGAAGCCTTTGTTTACTCTATTTCTGAGAAATTACACATTATTTCTCAGTAAAATAGAGAAGAGAGCATTCTTTGCTAACGACGGCAACATTGAAACTTGAATACTCGACAGAAAATACGCCAAAACAAAAAAAAAAACAAAAAAATACGGATCCGTTTTGATTTAAATCTCTCTGTAATGCCTAAAAGTGGTACTCGAGGTTTCAGTATCCAATAGCTAGTATAATATTCAAATTTAAATCGTGATATTTTCTCTTTCGATAGGTTTTTAAATTTTGCCGTCGGTCATCGGTTGCCTTGGCAGCGAAGGTGCCATGAAACTAAGACACCGTTTGAAGAAAATTAATGAATTACATTTTGCAATGCAAAGAGGCCTTTTAAGTCTTTTGATATCCAAAATATAAATATCAGAAGCATACGAGCTTCAAAACGAACTTTAAAATGTTTCAGAACAATATTTTTCTCTGATATGCATTGAAAAGAGATTCTCCCATACGAATAAATTTTCTAGAAGACGAATGATAATTTTTAATTTTGATGAATGTTTATTTCATTCATCTTTCTTACTACAGCAGGAGAGGAGAGAACCGTAACTGAAGAAAATAAATGAAGGGGACTAGACAGTAAAACAGTTTTAAAACTGATACAACATGTACCAAAGGCGCTCGTTTTCAATTCGAATTCTTTACGAGAAACAATCACTCAACTTTTTTTAGTTGATTAATCTAAATATGCAACTTCTAAAGCAAGATTGCACTTTATTTTTGCATATTACTGTGGGTGCAAGTTGGAATTCGGCCTACCTTTTGTTTTGTTTTGTTTTGTCTTTTTTTATGAGCGAGAATTTAAGTCTTCGCTATGAAGATTTAAGTTTTCATCAACGAACGGTGAGAGTCAGTAAACATGATCCTGGAGGGTGAGCTGCAATTTAAGCAATTGCAAAAAAGAATGCTGAACAATATCCAGGCTTCGATGGGATGAGAGGAATAATGAGAGAAAAGCAAGGACGTTTGCACGGCTTTAAAAATGTACCTAGGTATACCACAAGAAGAAATTGAAAATGAATAGTGTAAAGCTATCTTGGTCTTTTTCTGCTTTACTGCAGTATTTCCAACTGAGTTTCGAAATAAACTTAAGGACATTAGTGTTTGGCTGCCTGCCGATCCGCGTTCCGATTTTCTCTGCGTGGAAGCTTTTTATCCTGTATACCAGCGGTGCACATTCGTAAGTCGGAGCGATAGATATTTAATCTAGTCAGATCATGTTCTCACGATAGCTCTGTTTTTTTTTTTATGCAAATTTGCGATTTTTTGTCCTCACTTTAGAACCTTCCCCCGGCTTTAAAAGTCTATTCAGAAGAAATTCGTATTCTGCAATCACCCGGAGTAAAATTTCTCTGTGACCGACAGTACATCTACAAGCTTTTTTCAGCGTTTTTGTTTCTGCCATTGACGGGTCGTTCGTGCGAGACATTCTATGTGGATGACCGAGCTAAGCTAACAAACATGAGAAATTGTACCTTTTGTTATAATTCAATTCGCAAAAAAAAAACTTTGAATATGCAGATCAGAAAACAAAGCTAAATAAAATTTGCAGTGTTTATTTGTGCACCACCAAGTTTTAAATCAGTTGCAATATTGTAAAAAATTATCTTTAACGGTCGGTCAGAGGTCAGGGGAAAATTCTGATTCGCAAAAACAACCTTAAATAAATTTTACAGGCCTTTGACGTATCATAGTTCCATGTTTACAGTTAGCACCTTTTTAATGTGTTGAAGAAATTATCTTTGGTATTAGAAACTGAAAGATTAAAAAAATACCCTTGTCAGGAGTATTTTGAAGGACCAAGTATGATGTTTTGATAAATTGTAATTGAAGTCTTCTCAAAGGATGGAAACGAATGGAATTTAGCAAGTTCCTTGACGCAAGTATAGAAAAATAGGTTGTCAATCAGGCTCTATAATTCGCATTCTGTATGGATAATTATTAGAAGAATTGTAGGACGCATGCGCAATCTTAAGACTTTTTATTCGGGCAGATTCTCTTCTATAGGGTGTTTGATCGCTTTAACAAGGTTCAGAAAAGAAAATTAAACATTTTTCCTTCGCTTGCCTTCGATATTGCTTATCTTTTTTTTATTTTAAGTCAAGGGCTCTTTACTTGCTGAGGATTTTGTGAGTTTTTTCTCAAGAAAATAAACCGTTATAGCTCACTCAGAAACTTGAATTTTGTTCTTCAAATTTCTTCAGATCTCTTTTCAATATAACAATTTGAGTTGAGTTGTGCACGTCTTCAACTTTTTCTGAGTAATAACTGTGTCATTCACTGAATAACAACGTCTATCACTTAAAATCAGCAGGCTTAAAATGTACTACTTATGATGATGTCAACTGGTACAAGTATACGGAATTAACACTTCGTAACACCCTGTTTTTACTTTCATCCTACCATCACCCTTTTAACCTCTAGTTTCATTTACAAACCGTGGCAGTTGAAAGAATTGCGCATTTAAATTGATATTTTCCCGAAACTATTATAAAGGAAGTAATCCTTCAGAAATCATGCGTGTTTTATTCTCCTCAGGTTTAAGCGACCATCTGAGTCACTCAGTCGTTCGTCTTTGTCTTTGCGGAGGGGCTCATTTATCTAATACTTTGGCCTTCACAAGAGATTGAAGCCTGCTTGAGACAATGTGTGAACTCAAGCATCGACGGTAAACTATTATCTACATACTTACCTCTCTCCATCAGTTTCAAAATCCAAAGTGATTGATTGGAATACTGCTATCCGCAGCGTGCGGCTAATTCTTACGACAACGGCTGCACAGATCTTGATGGAAATTATTACAGCTGGTAAACATATGTTATATAACTTTGTTGATAACTGATGGAAAAGAAAATTAGTCAAGACTTGTGGTATTAATTCCATAAATTAATAATCTGGCTCTTTGTCAAAAACTTAGGCAATCGTCGATTTTATAGCAGAAATTTTTAACCAATCCGTTTGTTCAATGTGTGGAGGCGCGGTGGCCTCATGGTTAGTGCGCTCGACTCCGGATCGAGTGGTCCGGGTTCGTGCCCCGGCCGAGACATTGTGTTGTGTTCTTAGGCAAGACACTTTACTCTCACAGTGCCTCTCTTCACCCAGGTGTATAAATGGGTACCGGCAATTTAATGCTGGGGGTAACCCTGCGATGGACTGGCATCCCATCCAGCTAGAGGGGAGTAGATATACTCCTAGTCGATTCATGCTACAGAAACCGGAGTTAAGCACCGGCCTAATGGGCCACTAGGCTCGTAAACAGACTTTACCTTTTTTCAATGTACCGCCGTTATCGTTTATTATGAGATTGTGGTTGGCCACATGCAAGTGAACTTTCCACAACATCGTGAAAAGTCAATTCTGAATTTTTTTATGAGCTGGCTATAAGACAAAACGTCAGGCTGTTTTATTTTCCATCTCATTATCTTGCAGCTGTATTAAAATTCATGTGTTTTTGGTTTTGTGCAAGATGCAAAATTCTGCCGGTCTCAGTTTTGTTTTGGAAAGTGGCATTCCCTATGGGAGGAAAAAACGCTTCTTTTTAATTTATTGATTTAGGGGTCAGCTAATCCTTTATTGTACATTAGTTTTCGCAATTTTCTGCCCGATAATGATGCAAAACCAATTTCTCCAGCATTATTATCAGTATATTATCTCAACATGACAGATGGTGGTGCTCTATTCTAACGACATAACTCTTCGAATAAAAGTTATTTAATTTTTTTTTGCGAGAAACGTTTTTCCTTTAGGTTTATAGTGACAATACACAACATTTATTTTCCTACCTCTGGAAAGCAACGGTCCTTGCGCAATGCACTTTCAAAAGGCAAACAGATATCAGGATTTCTGTCTCCGAAATTGACTGTTCACTCAATAGGTGGTATAAGTGACACGCTCTATAAAAGTTACTTCAAATTGTACAGGAGCGGTAAGTTTTGAAAGACTAGGGCAAGAGTTGAATACGATCTTTACATGTTTTACCCACGAGACGTGACTAAATCAACTGTCAGTGTTATAAGCAGTGATTGTAAATTTTCTCTCGACCAACCAGTTGTGAGATCAAACTACACAAAGCATCAAACTGAACAGGTTGTGTATTCATTAAAGCAAACATTTACGAAGGGTAATTTTTAAAATATAAAATACTTAATAACTAAGACTGAGGTCGTTACGGGAGTTTCTCAAACTGAGACCTTGCCCTATTGACCAAGCGATAGCGAGGCTTCGTTTCGGTCCACATAAACGCAAAAAAAAAAAAAAATAAATAAATAAATAAAAAAAGCTCGGCCAATATCCAGCCATCTTGATCTCAAGCATACATAATGCCCTGCTCTGATCTAACTCTTATCAGCAAGAAGCTCAAGCCATATGATATATAATAATTCATAATTTCGCCTCGCGGTGTTCTGTAGTTCAGGAATTATTCACAAAAGCCAACGCAAGGTAAAAGTAGCGCTCCTAAATCTGGAAAAGCTGTTTATTTAGCTGCGCAAGCCCGATAGTAGGTAGTCAAGGAAGTCGAATCGTATTTCGTCATTGATTGTCTAAGTCGTTTAAGAACAGTTGCACATAATAGGGAGCTTAAGCACGAACAATTTTTGAGACGCGAACTGGGTAGCGAGAAGTTTAAAGTTCTCATTATTGATGCTCCTTATCCCGTTTTGGTCAGCAGAGTTTAGTTTGAAATGCTAAAACGTAACGATGACCTCACTGTCGATACATTGGCTTCAAAGCGCGCTAAAAGTAGTTTTATTCGTCTTCTAGCTGCCGTCCGCGTCTAAAAATCGTCTCTGCTTAAGTTTTCTAATAACAACTGTAATTCGGTAGCTAATATTGACAATCAGATACGATGAATATATGAAGTTCATATATTTTGAACTGCGGTTATAGATACGTATGATGCACGATCCTCGCAGTAGAGAGCGCTATTTATGCAATAGCGAAAATCAGACCTGAAAAAAATCAGCCCAGTACGGGATTCGAACCAATTGGTAGAGCGCTGCACTAGTATCGCAGAGGTTAGTGGTTCGAATCCCGTACAGGCCTGATCTTTTTCAGGTCTGATTTTCGCTATTGCATAAATAGCGCTCTCTACTGCGAGGATCGTGCATCATACGTATCTATAACCGCAGTTCAAAATATATGAACTTCATATATTCATCGTATCTGATTTATCATCACGGGTTTATTACGANATATTCTCCCAGTACGGCCCTCGCACTTGGTTAATAAGATATATTTACTGATGCAGTACTGAGCCGGTTTTTCAACGAAAAGCGGAACCGGAAACGTTTTTACGTCTTATTTTGTATGCAAAACAGAAAGACTTTGACGTCATGTCTCAAAAACTAAGTCAAGTGTAAAATGATGCGATTTAGAGCAAAAAATGATGCGATTTGGGAATAAATCGCACCAATTAGAGCCAATCAGATTACAGGGACCACCAGTGATTTCAAAATGGATGTAATAAATAATATAATCAATACAGTCTCACGCTAACCCTTCACATTCTAATTTCAGTGTGCGTATTCTCCCTACTGTTCCCTATACATCACCTTAGGTGCTAACAAGGAGAATTTGTATAAGAATCACAGAGCTTCTTTAGTTGGTGATCATTTCCTTTATTTTCGTGACCCAAGAGAGGTTATCCTATCTTTCATGACCTTCATGTTCGATTCAGGGGCGCTAATTACCCAAAAAAGTGATACCAAAGTTAGCTTTGACCCGCTAGCTCGTTCAGGAAACTGGCACATACCTAGACTAGCATCTCGCCCGCGATAATTGATGTAGTGAAATAAAAAGACCAATGAGAGCTATTCGGACGGAGGACGTTATCAACATATATGGTGCGATTGGTGGATGTTTTAATATTAAAATATTCTAAACCGCATTACAGTAATTGATGGATTACTATCCACCACACGGCCGAGCAAGAGAAAATGAAAATTGTTTCAAAGCCATGTAAACAATGCCAAAAGAATAATTGTTAATTGTGTGCAAAGACTATTATTATAAAGGCTTAAACCCGTGGCATAAAATATCTACATCAAACATTAAATTAAAAAAGTTGTTCTAACTTTATGTATGAAATACGATATGTAGTAAGTAGTTATATGAAAGAAATAAAAAATGGAGGTCAACGAAAAATACAAACAACAAACACAACCTGATCGCATGCAGCTGTAACCGCGAATAAAACACAGCAATAGTTTTTATTCCACATGATTAAGATATTGCCATGCCAACGTTTGAAATTTATGTGGCTTACGCATCTCTCATTCAAGAATGAAATTAATTCATAGTGTTTACGTATTTTTGACGGTTTATTTAACGACTGTGGCGCCCATGTGTTTCATACCTAAGGCGTTGCCACTTTCATAGGATAATTTCCAGTTTGGCTAACTCATTTATGTCAAATGGCCTTGATTAGGTTTAAAAAATTCATAACGAATCGAGAGTATTCTAGGTCACGCCAGTTACATACTACATGTATATTAGTCTGTCAGAACTGACCGATTAATCTAAACGTCAAGGACATCAGTTATTCAACACTCGAAAGAAAATGCTTAGTCATGTTTGAATCAAACGGTCGAAAAGGCCGTCACTTTCTACTAATGGAAACGCCCTCGGTAATTTTACGTGTTCTAAACACAGCTGTAAAGCCAATTTAGCCATCTAAACCATGGTTAAATAATTTTTTCCGAATTACCGAAGAATGTTTGAGAAGAAAAATTAGGAACTTTGAATGGAAATGAACGCCTCTGTTATCACTAGGTTTTGTAATTTGTACAGTTTTGTTTGCCTCTTGTGGGGGTTTGCACTCGGCTAGGGAAAAAAGACATTGAGTGGCTGTAGACGCAGTGCTTTGTGCAAATAGAGAGAGACTTTATTTATTTCAAAACAACTATGGTCAGTTATTTTAAGAAACAGAATAGTTTTTTGAAAGGCCTAATTAAAACGAATTGAAGCCAGCTGATCTAACTACTAATTCAAAACTTTCCTCCGTGATATAACCCATGCAAATTTACGCACGCGATTATTCAGCATTGTGACAACGCATTGAATTTTTGTTTGGCAGACTAAAACTCTAGTGCGTTCGGCCGGAATAATCTCTGGAGAATGGAAATTCTAGTATCGAGGGAACGCGATCCCTCCTTGCGCGAAAAACCTTCGAGGTGTTTTACAACAAGTTCCAGGTGAGATAAATTATTCATAAACAATAAGAAGCAAAGATAAAATGCAATTATATTTCTCCATTTTCCCTCGGAAAACGAGGTAACCGTATATCCCATTTCCACCATCATTTTACCAAGATGTAAACAGTTGCGAATATTAACTTCCGCGACAAATATCAACCGGGCTTTCTAGATCCTAAAAGACGTCAAAAATCTTAGTTACTTTGCAAATTAAGAATAAGAAAATACTTTTCATCCAGAGAAACATTTTTCAAAAAGGTAATGGAATCTAATAAAAACAATCTTCAAAGTACATGCTTGATCTGTTAGAGTTTATCACAATTTTGCTTTATTGTTGCAGCCGCGGATGCAAAATTAGCCTCACACTGAGGTACAGAACGCGACTAGTCTTGTTTTTTTCACACAAATTTGAAGCACAAAGTTCCGCGCGATTATTTATACCAAAGTTACCCAAGTGCGATGTATACGTTTGAATTTTTTACTCAATCGAATATGAATAGTATTTGGTGTCCTTAATTTAAATTTTCCTGAGCCTCTCATGTGGACAGCGCAAAACTGATTCTTTACAATTTTGTTGAACCGATAACTGCTTGTTTCCAACTTCGTTCATTTAAGCCGAAAAGGTCTATGCCTAAATTGACGTACATAACAAAAGTTGTTTACCTTCAAACTTCGCGTTAGCTGACATGTTTACCCTCAGGTCGCCGCTTCTTGGCTTTCTGGACTTTTTTCTCCGAATGATGCGCAAATGTATCGACCTCGCTTTAATTTCTTACCCGGCAGCACGAACCTTTTTTCCAACTCAGCATCAATTTTGACATCGCACTTTAAAGTGCAGACTTTGTTTTAAATAAACAACACTCAATATTTGGTCAAATCGCTAATGGATTTCATATTCATGAAAAGAATATTACTAAAAATAAAACCTTAGAGTCTTCCGAGGGGCAGCTGCTTAACTCTGACTGAACAGGTTAATGTTAGAAAAATTAAAAAGTAAATTGTTGAAGCATCCAAGATGGATTTATTTATTAAACTTCTATTGTTAAATTTTTAGTCATAACAACAACAGTTCTCGTTCCAATAAGTTCCTCCTTTTCGTCTCCCTCATTTTTTTTCGCAAGAACTCTTACAAGGGACACATTTTCTTCTGTACAGCACTCTGATCAATACCCCAGGCCACTTCGGTTTCCGGATTGAATGGGTATCTACATAATCTGATTTTGGTATAAACTCAATATCTTTGGATGAAAAACTTTCTTTTTATCAATTGCCAATAAAAGCTTTTGAAAAGGGCTCGCAATTTCGAGTTATCATATTTATTATTCCATTCATACCACAAGGAAGCTCTGTCGACTGTTGGCCCAAAGCGATGTTTTTGCTGGAATTGTGTGGTAATCAATTTGCAAGACGATATAAAAGTCAGTATTTTCCCATTTTGGCATTAACAACTATCTTGGCAAGGAAAAGTCTTTCACAGTTTCTAGAAGTTTCTTTTAAATTCTATCTCTTTTTTTTTTTTTATAGCGTCGGACTTAAACCATAAAAAAGCAGTGAAAAGGGTTATACTAAAATTCTTTTGTAAATTTAGAAAAATAACGTATTTTTCCGGCCAATGAATTCTTTAACTAGATTGAAATTCAGTTTCATTCTCTCAAGTACGGAAATTAGAAATCTTGCTATCGGCAAACGTTATTGCGTTGTGAAGCGTGGGGGTATATCTGTGACTTTGATCAAGAAGTGCTTTAGGTTCGCATCAGAAAGATTTTTTATCCCGTGCTACAGCAACGTCAGACTGCTGATGAAGACTGTGGGCTCGATTAGGCCACACTTGACCGCACAGTTGAGTCAATCAATACAAATCCCAACTGATAGCGATGTGTCTCATATAACAAACAAATTCCTGCAATAAGAGATACATAAAAACTAGCAGGTATTTGGTATCGAGCCGGTATCATGGCTGCCACGCTTAATTTTAAGAGGTATAGAGTTCTTTATTTTTTGCTTATTATTAGCTCAGTTGTTCCGCATAAGGAAAATTATTATTCGTTTAGGAAAACCGCGAGCCATACCGACATCTCAAATGGCTTTGAATCAAGGCGCAGGGTTGATTTACTGCTCCTTTAACGAAGTCGGGAAGGAATCCAAATCAAGCTAACAAAAACATTCTGCTGAACAAACAAAGCCTTTTGTAAGATGTCTAAGCGGGGTTCTACATGCCTTGCTATGTTCGGGCCCGGACCCGCAGTGGGAGGATCTCACGCCCCCCAGTGAGACTGGACTTATGACGGGACCACCCTACTGAGGACATTTTGTTGTGTTACTATTATGTTATAAAAAAAATACACGTGGTTTTCGCTAGAAGTTATTTTAGTAGTCTGAACAAGTTATTTTAGTAGTCGGAACAAAACCTTTTAGTAGTCTGAACAGAACATGCTATTCCTGGACACGACCGTCCTCTGGATAGTACTGTTTTCCACGACTTATATTCCTAAGAATGCAGGTCCTACATTTCCTCAAGACTTGAACTTTTCGGACATTTGTAACAACGAGCCGGGCTCGAATTTGCACTGATTGGCAACGAACCGGGCTCCAATTTGCATATTGGCAGTGAAGGACGCACTCCATTGATCATCACATACTCTCGTGAGCAGTTGTTGCAATTAAGATCTTCAAGGAATGCTCTATTGTACACCATGATTCAGGATTTGAGGGACTGTAACATCTTAAGGAAGGAAAGACCTAGAGCTGGCAGGTTGGTTCGTTTCAGGAAATTCAATAGGCATAAACGGCGAAATCTTAGAACTCTAACATCATCAACAGAGGCTTGTGTAAACAATACTGTTTGTGAGCGTCCTGATACTGCCAGCTCCTTTAAGAGGTCTCAAGGCGGTGTTAATTGGAAAAATTTAGCGTGTGTTAATATAGGATCATCTTCTACAAGATTATTTCCGGTTCCTAAGAGCCTATTAGGGGCTGACCATTTAACTTTGAGGGGGGAGGGGTGGCTTTAGTTTAAGTTTGAGTTTAATTTATTCGCCACAGGAGTGGCAGGAGAAAGGAACAGAACTTTCGTTCCAATTGACACCTAACCCCTTTTTTACCCA